AAGAATAATTTTAACAAAATTATCACTATATTGAAATTTGGATTTAATAATTAAAAAAACATAAACAAAAGTGACAATTATAAAATAAGAGGGAGTAAATCATATTTGATTGTTAGTCTTTTTGGACATGAATAACAAAACAGTGAAAATAATGATGAATAAACGAATGAAGACGTGATTGACAATTTTGATTGGAATGTCATATCAAATATTAGGTTGCATCACTGACAATATCAACATGAACTAAAAAGGAATAATTAAACATTGAATTTCCACAAATTTAAATAGTTTTTCAATTCATCGTTCTATATATTTAAACCTATCAAAATACATATTTCTGAATATTTCCTACATTTTAATAAGTAACTTGAAAAATATAAGAAAAACTTATACAACTAGGCCCAAGAGCAACTAAAGTTAGGCCCATTTCTGCCATTAATTAATAGTGCAACAAACTAAAATACTCTTTTAAACACACTTGTTATCTTATTATTTAGGATTAAAAAAAATTATATGCACTTAATCAAATATGATTTTATCTTGTATTTTTTTCTTCGGTTTTCACTATTAATATAGTCTAGTTTAAGAATCAGTTCTAACATTAAATCATTAAATGATTCTAATCTCTTTCTGATTATAGTTGCAGAGAATCGAATTGCGATTCTCGTTATCAAATTTAACGTCAATTCTATATTATATTTGATAGAATAGAGTATACTCTTGTTTAACACTCATAAACTTTATTTAAAAATATATTTGAAAATATTTTATTTGAAAAATATTTTACTAATATTGTTCATTGACTAACAATGTGATCACTAATGACACACGTTCACAACTATATTAATTAGGTTTGCCAGTAATGATCCACGTCATTATTACCTAGTTAAAAAAAACAAGTGGGTCTCATTTGACTAGAGTATTTCAAAATACAAAAAAAAAAAATCATAAATGAGTTTTGAAAAGTTTATGTCATGAAAGGATGATACAGGGTAAATTGTGTAATGAAAATCAAGATTGTAACTAAGTATATATTTAAAATCAGAAATATTAAATTTTCCATCATTATTTATAATTAGGTACTTTGATTTTAAAAATATATCCTCTATTAAAAGGTCGACATTGTGCCATAAATTAATTTCTTTAGGTCATGACTATTCTTAATTAACAAGAGGGTACTATAACTGTTCCCTTGAATATGTATGTATATGTGTATAAGACTAGGTACAAATACACTAAGTACAAAGTTGAAATAATATTACATGTGCAATAGTGGGCGAATTAAACTTAAATTATTTGTTAGGTGAAAGGTGAATGAACAATTCATAAAATAGTTTCCAATTGACAATTGAAAATTAATCCAGGGGTGAATGAATAATTCATAAAATAGTTTCCAATTGACAGTTGAAAATTAACCCTTCCTGGATTACAGAGATCACGCATGGTTTTTGTCTCTTCAAAAAATGACTTTTCCACAAAACTTAATAAAATTGATTTTTTATTAGAATTGGATTCAATACAACATGTTTAAGGAAACACTTATCTGCCAACTGTGGTGAATCTTGTTGGTTGGATGAGGAATGTGAATAAGTCAGATCTAATGATATAGTGCTCTGAACAAGATTTGTACACACTAATATAGTATTCGTATATCAATACTTTCTCTTTGAAAAAATCTTCTGATTTCATACATGCAAGATACAAGTTTTATTTTTTAATAATTTATCCTATTTTTATTATTAATTTCTTTTGAGATTTAATCAATTAATTCTGATACACATAATAAATAGATTATTTTAATTTTGTGATTCAGAGAAACGATTTACTGATCAAATTTTATTTCTATCAATCATATTTTTATTTTTATGCAAGAGCATTTTATTTTATAATTCTATCGAGTGTGACATTCTTACACCTAAGTCTACACTCAAATATGGTGGATAATATTTTTTTTAAATAGAAAAATATATTTTATGAAAAATAACTTAAATAGTACGTGAACAGTGATATTAAATAATACCAATGAATAATATTTAAGAATAGTATATGAATAATGATTTAATAGCAAAATAAAATTCTTTAATGAAATATAAAAAAATTAGTTAATAAATTAATGAAATTGATTAATAAAAATTTAGATATTAAAAATATTTTTTTAATAAAATAAAATTAATTAATAAAATTTTTAAAATTAATTAGTAAAATTATAAATTTAATTAATAAGCTGTTTAGATTTTTAGTAATTATAAAATTAGTTAATAAAATTATAAAGTTGTGTATAAAAATAACACACCTCTTGAGACTACCAACATTTATATATATATATATATATATATATATATATATATATATATATATATATATATATATATATATATATATATATATATATATATATATATATATATATATATATATATATATATATATATATATATATATATATATATATATATATATATATAATTACTTATAATTTATTTTAATAGATAATTATTGATGTTGATACTATTTTTATGATATTGATTGTGAATATATTTTACGTACCCAATAGATATGAATCTAATTATCATCCTTTAGTTTGTGTCAAATTTAAAGTATATTATTTTATTAGTGAAGGTTTAAGGTTTCTTAAAACCTTTCGTTAAATTATATGTTAAAAATACTTTTTTTATTTTAAATTATAAGAGAAATTTTTTTTTTATCTTAAAATATAAAAAAAAATTATCTTTCATATTTTTAAAATGAAATTAAATATACATTATATTTAATTTATATTTTCTCTGATTATTTTTATAACTAACAATCAATTAAAAAAGAGAATTTATTTAAATATAATCAAAACTTTTTTTATAGAGAAAGAAACTTACATAACAAAGGAGTAACTCTATTTAACAACTCATTATAGACATTAAATTTTAACAAAATAAATATAATCAAAACTTTTGTATAGAGAAGGATCAACTTACATTAAGAAGGAGTAACTCCATTTAATAACTCATTATAAACATTAAATTTTAACAATTCAACAGTTGAATTTAAAATTCTTATCGAATAGATTAGGCATGTGTTAGGTTGCACGGTGGATAACAAAAAAAGAAGCACGGCTGCTACATTTTCCAAAATAAATAAAAATTGAAAAAATAAAAGTTACAAATTTAAGAATTAAGAAAAAAATGTTTTTTTTTCCAACTTTCACCGTAAAAACAAACACATGTTAAATCAGATTCTACATACAAATTTATAGAAAATATCAACAATTACAACTATTAAATCAGATTGTCGACATTTACTTGTGTTTTTAAATAAAAAAAAACTTATTATACGTTCAGATGAAGTATCAAATGATGTTGATTTTTATAAAACAAAATTATTTAGTAGTCACATTGATAAGATTTAAGTTTTGTTTAAGAGTTTGAAAGGAAAAGAAATGGAGGATTTTGAAAAATATAAATGATCGAGTGAAAAGAATTGAAAATGTTTGGTTAGAAGAGTTTTAAAAAATTTGTTTTTCTTCGTAACACTAAAAATTTTATAATTTAGAAAATTCAAAATTTATATTAGATGAAAATTTTGAAAACATCCGCTCACATATAATTTTTATTATTATAGTATTTCAAAAATTAAAAATACATCAACGATAAATATCATTTTATCATTTTAAATAAAATATTCTTTTTTTAATTGTTAAAATTTTCTCTTTTTAAAAAAATTATTTTTAAAATGTCTTATTTTCCTAACACATCCTTTTTTTCACAAAATACATTCGAAAATATATATTCAAATAAACTTTATTTAAAAAAAAAAATTAAATATGCATCTCTAATTATACTAATATTTTTTGCTAAAAATATGTTTTTGAATAAATATTTCAGAATTTTTCTCAAATCAAATTAAACGTCTAAAATTGTTCCAAATTTTTTTCGAAAATATAAAAACAGAAAATAAATAAAATAAAATAAAAAAATAATATAAATTTTTAGAGTAGTATCCCATATTTTGTCTCTAAACCCTAAACCAAAATAAGAGAATTTGATAGTGTAAAGGCCATAAATACAGAAATCAGGAATAGAAAGACTAGAACACGAATGAAGATATAATTTATGACTCAATATTGTTAAAAATTAATGAAAATACATATTAAAGAAGTTCAGAAGTATTTTCGAATATGCATTTTCAAAGCGTCAATTTCAATGAAAATACATATTAAAGAAGTTCAGAAGTATTTTCGAATATGCATTTTCAAATTAACCCAGAACGAATTCAGAAATATATATCAGAACCAATTTATTGCTTATTTTGGGAACGGTGCATTCAGATATCAATTTTCAAATTTAAGCAAGAGCAACTTTGAAATTTCAAAGATGCATCCCATATAGCAAGGATGGGATGAGAAATTGCCTACACCTGATTTGGGCCTCTAAGTGTCTTAGAGTTTATGGGCCTTGCTCTTTTCAATTGATCTAAATGACCAACACATTGATATTAGCTTGTCAAAATAAAATAAAAAAGAAATATTGTTCATTTAAAGAAAACATGTATAACGGATATCGTATAAATATTTTCATTTGTGTCTTATAGATTCAGGGTAACTATATTAACCGTCAACAAACCCTTTAGATCTTTTCAGTTCTAAATATCTGGTTGTATCTTAAAAATGTGATTTAAGCTTAAATTCGCAAAAATATTACATTGTTTTGCACACGATGCTGTGTGCTCACAGCATCTCGAAAACAATAATGGTTCACACTGAATCACATTAAGATATAAAGAGGCACATAAAATGAGAGCAACCAAGTGATCAACACACAACATGTTCTATTGAAAAATCTATAGCTGGTTGCTTGGTACCAATAACTTCATTGCAAACCATTTATATATTACCGAAAAACGCAAAAATTAAACAAACAGAACACAAACCACTCATCAAACAAAAGAGACAACAGTCTTCCCAACTTATAGATAAAGATAATTATTCTTCAAAACCATTGACACTGCCTTCAATTGTACTCCTGCATTTACCATTATTGAAAAGTATAATCAGTTACACATGAAAAATGATTAGTCAATTGTTGAGATTTGTCATCTGTAATTTAAGCTAGCACCAAAGCACTAATAAAGATTTATCAGGAATTTGATTTATATTATGGATAGAAAACTTACAGTATTGCAAGATCTTCCACTGCTGGTTATCACCACTGTTCCAGTCCCAGAGGACAACAGTAGTGCCATCATGTACACCTCCAGAATTTTTATCACCATGAAAGGCATCCATGTTAAGATGAATATTGTTGACCATCCTTACAGCTCGGTAGCCATTACCCTGGTCCTTGCTCTCAGTCCATAAAATAGACTGATCAAGATAGTCCGGATTGTAACGTACCAGCCGAACCTACATAAAGATTATGAAAACAGACATGTAAACAACAAATAATGAAACACAGGAAACGAAGAGGATACAGGATTATAATATTGGTATTTTCTTCCAACTAAAAACCCCTTTCCAACACGTAAATGACACATTATGCAACTGAATCATAAAATTCGAGAATCCATATAAAGATCAGATTGTCAGATTATAAAAGTATGAAAGAAATAAAGAAAGAGATACTAAAAGTATGAAAGAAATAAAGAAAGAGATATTGTTATGCTTTTATTTTTTGTATGAAAATGATTAGGGATGAGAAGGTTGTCCTACCCCACTCAAAAAACAAAACATGACATGTGCTCTAGCAAGAGCTTATAATAATGATAATTAAAGATTAAAGATGACTTGCCAAGGAAAGTGCATATAAAAAATTGACCAAAAACTGATTTACTTTAACCTTGAATATACTTTTAGTTAATTTATGTTTGAACATTCTTAAAAATTTGATGGAATGAAAATAGATAAAGTAATACAGTAAAATGTTGTGTAAGTAAGATTGAATGTGCGTTTGGATTGACAGAAGCTCCGGATATCGGCTTCTCAAAATCACCGACGAAAAGGCCTTAATCGTGCGGCACTGATGGCCCTCCGTGTAACCAAACATAGGCTAACAAAATCACGGCGGTACCTTGATTTTGTTGAAGGCTCTTGTCAAATCACAATGGATCACCGTGATTCTACCAAAGTTACCATCAATCCAAACATATAGTAACAAACTGTATTTATCCCACAATCCAAACAGTTTGATAATTTAAACACCAGAGCAACAAACATGCAAGTTTGTTTGAAAAGTATAAAGCTCTCCAAGAACCTCATAATTAAATTATTCAGAAAAGGACCCAAAGGGACAGGGTCTACTTTACCATTTTACCATTTTATTTCATTTTCAAACAGAAAAGTAAGCACATTAAACATTTTCCCAAGTCACTAAACACCAATATTAAAAAGTAGCAGCCACTAGCAGGTGACAGCACATTCCAATTCTACCAGCTTGGGACAGAATGTTTCAAAAAAATGCAGAAAAACATAACAATCTCAGTTGCCTAATTGCCTGTTCAAGAGCAACAAAGACCAAATTCTTCAATAATTCAAACAAATTGACAATTCTAAAAATGAAATAGTAATGGTGTATCTCCTAGGTAAATGAATATAGTTCTTAAGAGGATTGAGTAGCGGCAGAGCTTGTTGCTTACTTGCCTTCTATTAGTGTATTATTACTGTATTGACCTAACTTTTTTATCAATACACTAAAACATCTTCTTTTGCACCCGAAAAAAAAAAAAAACTCTAATTGGATAATGACTAATCAGCACAAGAAACAAGAAGCTGATACACATTAGTTGCAGAATGCAGAATAGTGTAGGAACAAAAAGAAATGTCTTACTGGATGGGATGCAGCAATGGAATGCTTAATAGCTTCACCAGTGACCTTGTTGACCAAAGCAAAAGAAGGGTGACCATCTTCATCCTTCACCCTGGTACTCCACTTCTCATCCTTGTACCAATGCTGCAACAACAACAAAAAAAATAAAAAACATAAAACCCTAAAAAGATCTAGAACCAATTTCTAACAAAAAGAGATTTTACCTGATGCTGATCTAAGGGATCGGAAGGTGCGAGAACGACTTCGCCGCGGCGGATAGTGAGGGAGTAATTCGGGGAAGCTTTGGTGAGAATCTTGTAAGTGTGTTTGTTGGAGGAGATAGGATGAGCGATAGGTGAAACCTCATGGTTGACATGATGAACGTTGGTTGGAAAATGGGGGTGATGAGACTCATGAGAAACGTGATGCACAGTAGCGTTAGGGAATGGGGTGGATGAGTAATCAGGTACAGATGGGGGTGCAGGAGGGTATCCTCCACCGCCGTAGTTATGAGGTTGGGGTGGAGGTGGAGCAGGGTAACTGAAGTCGTCATGGGACACGTGTCCAGTGTGGAAGACTTGAGTTTCTGGTTGGTGAGGAAGTTGTGGTGGTGGTGGGTAAGAGTCACCGTAAAATGGAGGTGGTTGTTGATGATGATGTGGCGGTGGTGGGTGGTTGAAGGGGGAGGAGGTGTGACCGGGTGGAGGGAATTGTGGTTCTTCGGTGTCGTCTCTTGGGTTGTGATGATGAGTGTGGGTTACGTTTGAGGAGTTACGGCCATGGTTGAAAGAGAAATCCATTTTGTGAAAATTGTTGTTGGAGTTGGAGTTAAGAGAAAAGAGAAGGATGCTTAATTCTTAAGCTTACTTTTGGTTTTGTAGACAAATGGATGATCGATATATCGACGATGAAAACAAGAGTATGGTGTGGCCCAACACCACGTTTCATTCTTACCGACGTAATTCTATCATTTTCAACACGTGGCCATATTTCTTTTGGTTAACGTGGCCATCTTTTACTTTGAGGAATTCATAAATTTATTTAAAACAATATAAATTTTATGAGAATTATTCTAAATCTTAATTTTTTATTTTTATTAATTTAATAAATTTACGAATTTACTCGTAAATTTGACAATGATAAATGTAATTATATTGAAGACGATTGATAAATTTCTTAAATAAATTGGTAAAGAATAACTTTATTGATAACTAGTAGGATATTCGTACATTCGCACAAATACATGTGTGATATACGTATTTGTTTATAAAATATAATAAAAATAAAATGATTTAAAAAAAAATAATAAATCGATATTTATAATTCTTCTAATATATAAAAATATTTGAATAAATAATATATATTTTTTATATAAATATTATTTTTGTTTTAAAATTGTTATAAAAGATATTTAAATCAATAGTAAAGTTGTTCTATTAATATTCAATATTTTGATCAATAATTTCATGTTCCCGTTAATATTCAATAATTTGATCAGTAACTTCATGTTCCTGTTAATGTTCAATATTTTGATCAATAATTTTATATTTTCGTTAATATTCAATAATATTTTGATCGGTAACTTTATATTCCCGTTAACATTAAATATTTTGATCAGTAACTTCATGTTCCTGTTAATATTCAATATTTTGATGAGTAACTTCATATTCTTTTATCGGTAACTTCATGTTCACGTTAATATTCAATTGTTTTATTAGTAATTTTATGTTCCCGTTAATATTCAATATTTTTATCACTAACTAAAAGGTGCCATTAATATTTAATATTTTGATCAGTAATGTTCCCTTTAATATTCAATATTTTGATCAGTAATTTCATGTTTTCGTTAATATTTAATATTTTGATCAGCAAATTTATATTCCCGTTAAAATTTAATATTTTGATCAGTAAATTAATGTTTTCGTTAAAATTTAATATTTTAATCAATAAATTCATTATACCATTAAAATTTAATATTTTGATCAATAAATTCATTTTATTCTTTAATACTTACCATGTTTCAATTTTACGAATTTTATAAAATAAAATTAATTGATTAATAAATTTCATATATATATATATATATATATATATATATATATATATATATATATATATATATATATATATATATATATATATATATATATATATATATATATATATATATATATATATATATATATATATATATATATATATATATATATATATATATATATTAAAATAAACGGCTAGGATTAAAAGCATCATTTTAAATAACACATGAATCTCTCTTTCCTCTATCAATTCTCATTTAACCTTTTCATCTTTACAAATCCACCAATGGCAGATGAGGGGCATACATATATTGCAATAAAATTGCATCACTAAACATTATATTAATTTGATTTATTTGGCATTAGTCAGTAGAACCACTCACTTGATTAACCACTAAAAGGATAATTTTAATTGAAATTGGAATTCCCAAATTAAAATACGTTAACATTTGTCTTTTCACTTCTTCACATAGTTTTAATGTTATTGTTTTTCTTCTGGCTATTGTATATCACTGCCGTTTTTGGATATTCATCAAATTAAAGGGTCAATTTAATTGAAATTTGAATTAGTCTATTAGATAGGAACCGATGATTGATCGTAAAAACAACATGTGTTGCCTCTGGTTTCAAGTTATTCTCGATTGATAATTAGTCCAGGCACAAATTCTGTAGTAGCATGAATAGGCACTTGTTTGGTGTTATCATTCCAAAAGTCTATTAAAACTGAGGTTTAAATTTGTAATAAGTTCAGGTCACTTTTTGAATTAGAGTGAAGAGATTTACTACAAATCAATCAAAAAGTAAAACGAATATGCATATAATATATTTCTAAGATCTACAACTAAAGTTTCTATAGTTTGATAAAACAAATTAGTCAATTTTCTAGGTACTAATGATGAAAACACAATACAAAAATTTCATTAGTAAAAAGCATGCAATGACTAATGAACATTAAATAAATTGAACTATAAGTTCCTTTACCTATGATAGAAGTCTCTGCCTGGTATATTTCAGTCTACTTTACTTCAAGACTTATTTCCAAATGTTTGTACTTGTTTCTTTGCTAGTTTGGCACCTTATGTTGTATGGAAACTATTGATAAGAAGAGTTGATGCAGTACCACTTGGATATGTCAATTTAAAGTCAATAATCATAATTTACAACAACCAACGAAAAAATAAAATTTCAATTTAACATAGAATAATCAAATAGTTTAATTTGATCAAACCACTGAACTAACGAAATCGTAACCCGAAACACCATGCAGCTAAGCCGGAATATGCATTTCCAATGTGACAATTAATATGGCTGCTAAGTCTAAGAAATAACCATGTACATGTAATAATATTGAAGGGATCACAAGTGGTGTTACTCCTAAACCTTGTGGTTTGTTACCTGATCAAGGGACAAAGAAAATTAAAGATTGTGATTTTACCTCAAATTATGATATGTTGGAGCTTAAGAAATGCAGCTACAGCATTTAAACAACATGTTGTGTTTATTTGCATAAATTAAGAACATGTATTATTTATCTATTTATTTACTTTTTAAGTATTTTATCATGTTGTGTACAAATTATTGCCCAAGTTGAGATTATAAATTATGATTAATGCTTATCATAAGAATCAGAGATGAGATTAAAATGAAAAAACACATTACAACAATCTCAGTATTTCCAATATGTTAAATATCTTGTGAAAAGTTGCAACTTTTTGAATACTAACATAACTCATCAATTAGGCATCAAATACTTTGCTAATCAACTACAAAGAGTGAATACACAAAAATCTCAGTGAATTGGTGGATCATGATCGAACCTCACATCTTGTCTTATAGATGAGTTCCTTGATATCTTCTTCGATGAACATTGGTTCCTCGAAGTCAAAACTGAATGGTCTGATATATACAGGTTCCTCATTGATATCATGCAGAGGTACTATGTATGGATGACACAACGCCCCGTTAACTGCAAAGAATCATAATGTCAACATAAGATAAAGAATCTTACCATCCAGACCCGGTTTAACTGATTGAATCATAACCCGGAATGTATCACAGGTTTGATCTCCAATCCAATTTTTAAAACATTGCTTTATATCATACAATAACATTATTACACAATGGTCTAAATCGTGAAGAGTTAAAACATTACATATACATCAAATCATATCTCATTATATATATATATATATATATATATATATATATATATATATATATATATATATATTAGGAAGAAAAAAAAGACTATTTATAATATATCTGAATTAAATTCTATTAAGTATTAGTAACAAACTTGTGCAGGGGCATATTAAGCGAATAATAATTGTATAGTGAAAAGAAAAAACTGATCCCATTATAAACAATGTTAGATTACTTATTAGTTCTGAAGTGTACATAAAATAATACCTTGAGTACCCATCATCAGAGCCTCATGGTTTTGCCCAAGTTGTTGTGCGTCTTGATCTCATTGAATAAGGATTTTGATGTACAATCCCAATAAAAGGTGAGTCGTGGAAAGTTGCACTTGGATCATTCAAACACGGATAATCTTTCTTAGACAATTGATTTCTCGTGAGTTTTTCAATGAGTTCCTGAATATTCATCCACTCATCACATAGAAAGCTAAAGAACTTTTGAGGTTGAATCAATTTTGAATTAAAAATGGGAAGGCGCGAAAAGGATCAAAGAATGGGAGAATACCTTTGTGACCAATCTCAGGTGGTGAACATAATCTATTCCAGGGAATAGAGGTTGTCTTGTTACGATTTCACCGACTATGCAACCAATAGACCATATTGTAATACCCCAAATTTGTCCTATCCTTTCACTTTTATATGGCTTATGCATTATGTGCTTCTCATTCCATCTGCACACCCTCGATTAGGTCAATTAACACCTCATGCATCACTAACTAGTAAATTTAGCATGGGATCAAGGATATTGAAGAAGTAGGGTTATTGTATAGCTTTAATGCTCTCATCTTCGTACAAGCTTGTTTTGGTTGATTTCTCCATCAATCATTTATTTGAAGTTGGGGTTTTATTTCCTGGACTTCTTTATCATCAAGCTAGAGGGATATTTTTTCTTGTCAACATCAAGTTACAATCTTTCTTCGAGGATTAAGAATTAAGGTTTTCATCCATTATGCATCAATTGGGGATTATTGGATTAGGACTCGATCTTATGGGGTTATTTTGAGCCTCTTTCCTTCGGCATTGTGGACTTGTTTTGAATGATACAATTTTGGTTCTCATCAAAATCTTGTTACTTCAATTGCAACTTAATTTGGATTACTGATAGAAATGATTATTGATTTGGATTTATTGAAACTTCTGATCGTTCTTGGATTTAGTATTGGTTTAAGGTCTAAGTTTCATGGTTTGTCAGTGGTTGATTCAAAGTAAGGTTGGAAGCTTCATTCGTATTCTCTTGGTATACAACTTACAAATCTGCAAAGAATGGCAAGTTCAAACATCATTCAAGGCATGTTCACTGTTTGTTGCTTGTCACGCAAGTTACTCGGGGAGTTGAATTAGAGTTTCAGTGGGAGAGATGAATTCGAGATATTGGTTAAGTAATTTCCTTAGTTCAATTATAAAAGTCCAAGTAGAGCGATTCATGGTGCCATTCAATGGCATTGGGTAAGGTTCAGGAGTTTATTAAATTTGATCATTTGAAGTACAGGTTACATTAACCACGTCCATAAATTCATCCAACTTCCATCTCAATATTTCACCCAAAATTTATGTTTGCTTATT